CACACATTGTAGGTAAGTCAAATTGAGTCTGAAAAGTTGTACTGGCGGTTACTTTTACAATAAAATGTTACAAATCGAGAGAAGTGTATTTGTAAGAATTTTGTTTTATTTCAATTATACACTTAATCTCAAACAAACCAAGGGCCCCTCAAAAAGTTTGCTACTGGCCCCGCTCTGGCTTAATCCGGCACTGTCAATGAATACGTTTCCTATATTCCTTTATATGATAATTAGTAATATACTCGTAGTTTAGGTAATTCTTAAAGTAAGTATAAATTTAAAAAGTCAAAAGCGAAAGTTATTTCGAAAAGAAAAATAGAGCAACTTGTTTGTTTAAAATACATAGTCTTGTCATAAATATTTTTACATAGAAAATCAATCAACGTTTTTTTTATCGAACGTAGCGTAACTTTTATTACAACTACCACAACTAAGTATCACAGTATGTTACTTGAATACATTAATATAAAGTCATTAAAAATATATACATCATATTTGAAGCATGGACTTAATACTATGATTGGAAGTGGTCCCCATTGGATGCAATCTATGTTAAGGCCAGTTATCAATAGATGCACGCACTCTTTTCATCATATGGATTGTTTTAGAGACTCTAAATTATCATGACGTTTAGAGCAAGCTTTACTCTCTAAAACTGACCAATCCAGCGAATTAGGATCTGGACTAGATGACGACCAGTCTTAGTCGGGAATATTCGATTGTAACGAAGATTAGGTGAATCGAACTTTATCACTTGGCGCCAAGTATTGTTGAAAGGACGAAACTTGGTTAGTTCCCGAAACCAAACTAGATGTCGCTACGGTACGTTCTTGATTTCTCCATGACAACCTTTCCGGTTTTCTTTCATATTTAAATATTAAAAAAAATGTTTAATCCAATTAAAAACTCATATTCTATTTATACTTTTTTTGTATTTGTATTGATATCAAAATTTCGAACTTTTCAAATTTCAGTTTTTTAATATGTTAGTTAAAATGAACGGAAATGACTGTCTTTGGTCCCATTCGTTTTCTGCAAAAATCAACTTTTGCTAGAGTCGCCATCTAGTGGTGGTGCTTTTTTAGTGCTTTCGTTTTTTTTAAATACTTCCTCTTTGAACATGCTACCTTCTCGAGCATGGTATCTTTATACACTTGATCCAATGTTTTGATACCTTTTTCACAAAACTATGTCTCAGTCACTCTTTAATAATTAACACCCCTCCAAATCATCACTGAAGTCAGATAATGCTCACTTTTGACTTTGTTGACTAATCATGAAGCTTCTTTAGAGCTTTGAGAATAAATACTCGTATGCTCATTTTGTTTTTAAAATTTTGCTCAATTGTAAAAAACTTCTCGCCCGAAAAAAAAGTTCTATGACTCCCCTTTGCGTACCGCTTAAGTAGTTGTTTCGATTTTACCACCCTATTGTTTTTTAATTATCTGATAAGAAGTGACCAGTGCGTCTCTTAACGGCTGTAAGTCACAAGTCAACTTTATAATCGGGACATGGTTCTTGGTGCTATGTTCATCTCCCGAAATAAAATCTTCATCCGAAAGGACAGGATTTCTTGGAATACTTTCCCTTACGGGAATACTTCCCGTGGACGGGGATGTCTTTTTCTGTCACAAATAGAGGTTTCATTGTACCTAATAATAGCCTGGTTTTGACTAATATCAAGCGTAGCCAAACACAATTATATTGAAAATTGTATTTGGCTCCATAACTACTTTATGTAATGCAATCACAGCGATGCGGTTGTAGCAAAACTTAATAAGTCCCCGCGATCGTCTCGCCAACGTAAACCCCAAATCTACCGTAGTTCGGCTCGACGAATTCAACGTTCGACACTGTTGCCAGATTGGGGGATTCCCCTAAATTTAGGAGCTTTTTAAAGCTGTGGTGGGAAAATTGGGGGACGAAAGCTTGGAGGAAAGTGAACGGATTTGGGGACAAATCGGGGATTTTATTACTAAAAAAAAAGAAAAATAAATCATAATAACTAAACATAACACTACGAGGCTGATACTCATTTTAAATTGAAATATTACTTCAATATATTCATCTATTTCATACTTTCACGTTTAAATAAACATAACGTGTAAAATAAAACGTATTAGGTGTACCTGTCTGTCTTACTCACGCTTGACGAGAGTTAGTCGTGCGAATCGTTCTATAATGCTGAATATTCTACATACTGAATCATTTGTTTGACCATGCTTTGCTGCTTCAAAATTTGGCCTTTTACGCAAGTACCTATATCGCTTAGGCATTAGTTATATTATTTACTGCTTACTGTACGAGTTTTCAAATTGATCATATAATTTTAAGATCTAATTCCATTATCAAAATATGTAAATATTATACAGATGTGCATTTTCTTAATATTTAATTTTTTGGGACTTTTGTTATGCAAAAGTTCTTTCTGGTTACTTTTCCATTACAGCGTTGGCAACACTAAAAACCGTTGACTATAAGGAAGTATTAAAAAAAAGAAAAAGCACTAAAAAGGACCACACGACTTGGAGCGACTGATCTACGATCAAGTCTATGGTGCACTCAAATGTTCTTTCAGTGAGGAGCAGCATGGTTTTCTGAAGGATCGATCAACAGTATCGAATCTGGCACTCGCGAATAACTTTATTACCGCCGGTATGGATGATCGAGCTCAGGTAGATGTCATCTACACTGTGTTTTGATTACAGTTTTACTACAGAAAGTGTTTTGATAGAATCGATCATACCGTGCTTTTACACAAACTGTCAATGGCGGGGATTCATGGTGACTTATTCCGATGGTTCTCCTCGTATATAGAAAACCGCAGTCAAGCTGTGGTGTTAAACGGTTATACATCAAATTGGACCTATATACCATCTGGGGTACCACAGGGTTCTCTACTCGGACCCTTACTGTTTGCGATATTTGTGAATGACATTGCTGAGTGTTTTCACAACTCCAAAATAATTTTATTCGCGGATGATATGAAAATATTAAAGATTATACGCAACGACTTGGATGCTAGAGATCTTCAGGCTGATTAATGTAGATTCGAAGGTTACTGCATAAAAAACAAACTAGATCTCAATGTTGCGAAATGTTTCTATATGTCCTTCACCCGCTGTTATAACATTATAAATTTCACATATACATTAAAAAATCATAAATTGTCAAAAGTTTACGAAATTAAAGATCTTGGCGTAATACATGACTCGAAATTATTATTTGACAAACATATAGACTATATAGTTAAAAAAGCTTCTCGAGCGCTGGAGTTTATTATTCGCAGTTCGGCTAACTTCCGAAACATTAAAACGCTTAAAATCTTATACTCCACTTATGTACGAAGCCACCTTGAATATGCATCTCAAATTTGGAATCCTCAATATCAAACCTATATAACTCGGATTGAGGGTATTCAGAAAAGATTTCTTAGGTTCCTAGATTTTAAATCTCAACAGTATTCTATTGACTACAACCATAGATGCAAAAAGTATCATTTTCTACCGTTGGAGACAAGAAGAATGATTAGTGATGTCTGTTACCTGTCTAATGTCGCTTGCGGAAGGGTTGACTGTTCTGAATTACTATCTCTATTAAACTTTAAAACTAACCAGCTTCGATTAAGACAAAGACCACTTCTATGTCCTTTGACAGCCAGAACACGTTACAGAACGAATACTTTCGTGATACGAGCATGCCATACATTTAATAGACTACCTGATAATGTTGACCTGTTTTGTTCTAGCACCACATATGTTAAAAAAGTGTTGAGTCTCAGTTTCTTTGATAATAACAACGATTAATAGATGTGTCGTTTTTATTGTAGAAATGTTAAATATTTACATTTTTTTTAAGTTGTCCACTAGGTTTTTAACTTCTAATTTATAACCTATTTGTGGAGATTTGTAATTAGCATCGGAATAATTTACTTTGTGACATAATGTCGATATTTGTCTGTAAATCTTCCTAAAAATAAATAAATAAATAAAACACTATATTAATGTTTGCAGGAAATGACTGCACCAAAGATAGTAATTTCCGTTCCTTTTCACTAACATATTAAAAAGTATTAAAGTAGCGGCAAGGGTTTGACTTCGAGAACAGTTTCTTTACATACTGCCTCGTTAGTGTGAAAGATACTCTTTTGATTTGATTTGATTCTGTGGTTGGGAAGATACAAATTCCTGGTGGGAAGTTAAAAAACCATTGCCACGCAATTTTAAAAGTTACCTTTTGTGTCGTGTAACCTTGAAGTACCTTCAAGGAGTAAGAAATCACCTAAAAGGTTACAAAAGTAACCTTCGGGCAACACATCAATATCGTCAATGAAACAAAATTGCAAAATTTGAACACCTCGTTCTGAAATGTCCAAATTTTGCTGTGCTAATATTGGCAAGAAATATAGAAAAAACTGTGAAAGATTTACCCCGTCAATTACAAGATTTATTGCAGATCCCAGAAATATATAGATACTTATACTGGTATATATATATAGGAAACGCTTGTAAATATGTAAATTATCTCAATATAAAAACACAACTGAAGGCTATAGAAGCCAGGGCCGGTAAAACCTTTAAAAAAAATGTGTTGTGTGTGCTTGTCTGATTGACATTGATTACCTACTAAGTCTGTGACGTCTGTGACCACAGAACAATAATCTGTGACACTGACAGACATCAAGCAGGGCTGATAGATTTGCGGTGAGTGCAAAAATAGAAAAATAAATGCTTATCATCACCAAACTGTTATATTTGTTGTCTTCAGGTTTTGATCTAAGGTTGAAAAAACAATAAATGCATATAGTAGTAACTAAAGTAAAGCAGTTGGATCAAAAAAGTCTAAATATTGAAAAAGTTTTAATCTTTGTACTATGTAGTTTCGAGTTAATGTGTTCTTAATGAATAAATGTTGTATTAATGTTGAATTAACCATCAAGAAAATACTAAGCAATTCGTAAATTAGATTTTTAACTCATTATACTTCTTTTAGGTCCGAATTTTTGTTAATTTCTACCTACAATAACACACAACCCATTTGCGGGATTTATATTTAAAATAAATATATATTTCAAATGTTTTCTATTCTTAGTTACAGATATTTGAAAAATAAAACTTCAAAGATAGAGAATCATGTCCAAGGATATTATTGTTCTAACCCCTAATGGAAGAAGACAAAAAGTTCACTGTACACCAGACACCAGTATGCTACAGGTAACAAAAATTAAATATACTAAATTCGTAAAAGTTCCATTTGTCTATATGTTACTTATTTTAAATAATTCTGTATTGAATTCCCAATCATTTTAACTACTGCAAACACTGTGCCAGATTCATTGAAAAATTAATCTCTTAATTTGAGCATAAAATTTTAATACCTACGCTACTCTGTGCACAACTTTGAAAGTTTAGAAATTAGTTATTTTTTTCTCCAGGACCATTTGTGTTTTTATAAATTTTGCTTTTCACAATATATTTTAAAATACAAAATGTAATTAATGTAAGTAGGTACTCACTTTAGATTTGAAATAAATGTATTTTAATGAAACAATTTTTGTAAATCATTCTTTTTTTAGGGTAAAAACACCGATTATTTAGCACTAAAACATCATTATGACAGATGTAAAGTATAATTCATCTACTTTAATAAAAGCATCACTTAATAGATATTTTTGACTTTCATAAGTAATATTCTTTGTAAATGCTCAATGCCGCATCAGGTACCTTTTAAGAGACCTTACTAAGTGAGTGTTGGCTGATACAGCAGATATTTGAAAAGAATCCTGTGCATTAGGGTATTTTATTCTGATTGGAAAAGTACTACTAGGTGTGTATTTTAATTCAAATGAGTCACTAAAAATATTTCAGAATAATGTACACATTCTTCTTGCCTCAAAAGTTTAAGTTTTTTAATACCTGTGAACCCATAGTCCACCAAATTCATGATGTCATTTAGATATGTACACAAGACGCTCACGAAAAAAACTTTTTTGTTCTATAGTAAAACTACATTCATAAATATAATAATTCAATTCCATAAGATAATCATTGCACTTTGATTATAAAGATCCTTTGCCAAATTCGTTAGTGTTTTTTATGGTATTTACAATTTGGTGTTTGTTTTTTTTTGTCTTTCTATTTATTAATCTATTTATTACCTCATTTTAAATGATCTTTTAGCATACTATTAATGTTATATACTTGTTATTTGGTGCTAAATAAATACTTTTCTATTCTATTAGTATTGTTTCAATGCTACAAAAACATATTACAGAAGACATTATTGATTTTGAACAGTATGAAAATATAGCACCAGAATAATTTCATACCTGGACATGTTAAAGTCAAAATCAGTTTGAGGAAATTCTGGCGAGCTTGGTAAAAGCCTCTTATTGTTAAATAGAAGAAAAACCATACTGGCATCAGTATTAGTTAAGTTAAGCACTGGAGATTCAAATGCAAGGCTTGCATGCACTGAGTCAACATTCCACAGATGGTTACAAACTAGACGCAACGCACTTTTAGAAGATTCAAATTTATATAGCCATTTACACATGTATTTCGCTAGGCGGCATTCATTTATTATTTTTTCTTCTGTTTGTCCTATTTATGTCACCCAGTATAAAAAATGGAAAACTTAAAATATCGTGTTATTTACGAGTACGAGATCCACCGTGATACCTGTATTGCGGAAACTGCTCGAAGGGTTAAAGATGTGTATGACGGTTGTGTCGCAAAAGAAAACACAGTGCGTTTTTGGTTTCAACGTTTTTGTTCTGGAAATTTCGACCTGCAGAAAAGCCCCGTGGACGGCCGGAGACCCAAGTTAATAATGAAGAATTAAAGGCTATTGTAGAAGCCACGTCCGAGTTAGCTGCAGGCTGCGGTGTTAGTGATAAAACTGTTTTAATCCACTTGAATCAAATTGAAAAGATTAAAAAACTTGAAAGGTGGGTACGTCATGAATTGTGTGAAGAAAACCGGCAAACGCGCTTCGGCTGCTGCGTTACATTACTTAACTAGCACAATAATGATAATTGACCCCAAAAAAGTTACTTGTAAGCGTTTGGTGGATTAATGCCGGTGTCGTTCATACGGTTTTCTCAAATCTGGCCAGACGTCTATTGTCAGCAATTGCAAACCATGCAGAAAAAAATAACTAGCTGTTAAACAAGCGAGGCTGGTCAATCGCTCTACGCCAATGCTACTTCACGACAACGCTAGACCACACACTGCACAACAGTCTGCTACCAAATTAGAAGAGCTTCAATTGAAAGACATCCACCGTACTCCCCGGACCTTGCTCCAACAGATTACAATTTTTTCGAAATTTGGATAACTTCTTACAAGGGAAAAAATTCAACTCAGATGGGGCAGTGCAAATCGCCTTCAAAGATTTTATCGATTCCCGTCCGAATGGTTTTTTTACTAAGTAGATCAATGAACTACCTATGAGATGACAAAAGTGCATAGATAACAATGGTTTATACTTTGATTGAATAAATATATTATATTAAAAAATATTCGACTTTTTGTTCCTCCCATACCAAACACCAATTTCATATGTAAGGACCTAATAAACGTAACTATTTTTGTTGTGTTATTTAATGTTATTTAACATAAGTGACCACTACTCATTAACATAGCAGTCTTGTTGCTCCTCACTTTATTAAGCCACTGACAATGTGCGGCATACAAATACGTTCGAAGTTTTTCGGAAAACGGGACATTTTTTCATCTCGGAGTTATCGCCGGGTCACCGAGATAGACAACCAAAAAACAGGACGTCTGGTCACTTTAGTTAAATAGCGTTTAGTGTAACACTAATAAAATAAACAGAAGCAGCACTAAAAACAGAATTGTTGTGTTTAAGTTAAACAATTCATAATTTTTCCTTACAGATTTTAGAAGATGTATGTCAAAAGCAAGGTTTTCAAGCAACTGATTATGATTTAAAGCATCACAATAAGATAATTGATTTGACCACAACTGTTAGATTTTCAAACTTACCTAACAAAGCTACGCTTGAAATGGTTGAAATTGAGAGAAGGCGACAAGAAACTGTTGTCACAATCGGATTACTGTTAGAGGATGGTATGTTGTACATAGTGATGTGAAAATGTAATCCTGATTAAAGTTTGTTCTGGGTTGAATATTATATACTTAACCTTAGCGTCGCCAAGCTTCTGGATAAATCTTTTTGATTGCTTGTCCGGCCAAAATAAACAGTGTTCGAATTATCCGGCTTTTGTTAGGCATTTTACACACGCAAACGAATGAGCGTCGAGCGTGGCTAGTCGACATATTTATGATAATAATTTTAAAAAAGTCTTGATTTTACATAAAAAAAATTTATCATACCTATTAATACTGAGATACAAAATCCTCTATAATGTAAAGTGTCCGGCCTTTTACCTAAATGTCCAGTCAAACTAGCTGGTCTGTCCGGCTATTAGGTTTGGCGACCTGGCGACCCTACTCACACAAAGTTTACATGAAGTCACTCGACATCCAGATGACCTTTGTGGAAAAAAACACTGAGGAGATGGTAGAGAACCTATGTAGATTTTAAAGAATAAAAAAATTATTGAGACTTACTGCAATATGTAACCTACAATCCTGGGTAACAATTACTAAATCTAAATCTCTCGACCGGAGAAAAATTACGCTTTATGTAGACAAAGCGTTTCTCGCGTTCGTCATGCGACGCTTACTGTGTTGAATATTGTTAATCAGAACAGGCGAAAGTTAGATTGAGAGTAAGATATTGTATGCCCACGTGGAGCTACACTGAAAATCTTAATTTCAGCGCCCTATATTTTGGTAGACACACTACTATGTATAGGCATAGGTATCTCACTCTCAAGTCTCGAGTTCGTCGTGCTACACATGCTGGTTATACTTTGATCTACTATACTTTGTTCTATTTAATTTATTTTTTTAAGGTGATAGAAGAACTGCAGATTTTGCTCCGAACACGTCTCTGTTTGAAATAATTACCAACTTGGCACCAACTGAAATAAAATGTCTATCACAACCAACAATACTATACATGAGACAAGAAGTTATTGGAGAACTGGCTTTAAGAGAAAAGACATTAAGACAACTTGGTCTTATAGGTGGCAGAGCAATTCTGCGACTATTAAATAAGGGAGAGGAAAATAAGTAAGGCTCATAAAATTATCAGTAAAACAAATAGGTTTTCAAATTGCACATTTGCCCGTTGTCACGGATATATAAGTCAATGCTTATTAAGACTCAACCTGTCCAGTCTCCAACACACAATTTAAGTAATACCATACTTATTTGACAACTGCCAAAGATAGTATGATTCCAGTATATTATTGTAATATTTGCTCCACGCGAACGCAGTCGCGGGCATCAGCTAGTAAATAATATAATATCATACATTGCGCTATGGAGCCCTACAAGAATAAGTCATATTTGGCTGATTTTTAAATACATTCAAAAAATTTAAGAGATTTGTTTAAATTTATGTACAGTCAACAACTGATGTTAAACAAATTGTCAAATGTCTTAAATCGAGTAGTACGTTTCAATTAGAGTTTAGTAGGTACTGTGTGTACATTATTGACTGTACATAATATAAATTGTATACTTGAATATCTTAAAAGAATTAGGTAGTTAAAAAAATATATCAGGTTCCCAGCTGTATAACTGTTAACTTCATTTTGATGATGACTAATTTTTGTTTGTTCGTCAGGTAGTGTTAAAAAATATTAAACAAGTATTTTTTTTATTTTTTTCGTAATCATAAAATTACGGCGTTACATTGAGTTGAAATTTCGCATGACGTCACGTTAGAGTACGTTTTCTACTCAACTGTGACGTAGCGAGCCCGACTTTAATGCCTGTTATCTATACTATTTCTTGTTAAATTGAAGTTAAAAAAATACGTATCTAATATTTTTCTATTATCTGACTGACGGACTAAATAGGATTGCATTTTTTTTACCCAGTCATCATCCCTATTCTGTTGAAAATAAAATAAAAGTTTCAATCCTGAATAATGACAAATAAACGAATTATATTTTTGGGGTAGCTTAAGAAGTGGTACAACTGCATTTGCAGACGTTGATACCCACCAATCCGCACTGCATTCTTCCTATTCGATTTGTTTCGATTACATCCGTAGGGGAGGCCTGAACTCGAGCAGTCGAGACATTAATACGTTGGTGATGTGATGTGATAACAGAATTGTTTCCATTGTGAAGTAAAAGCACAGAAGTAGATGTTTTTATATTTTACTTATATCATACTTACTAACTAGTTACTTTACGCCAAAAACATTGTTTTGTAGTTAAAGTATTATTGATAACTCAATGTATAGTACAAAGAAAGTAAATAAAGAGGTCCTTTGTTTTGTATACAGGCAAGCCAATGTATCGGCTGTTTATAGAAAACCCATTTCTGAGAAACCATCTTCGAACGATGATGATGTTCAAAAATCTTCAACAGTTGATCAACAAGTAACACTTGCACAAGAAAAACCAGCTGCTGGACCATCTGATATGAATAAATTTGATACCAAAGTTGCTAAACTTCTTAAACTCAATGACAGTGTAAATAATACCATTAAGAAGGCCGTTCAAAATAAAGTCGAAAATGAAATGGATATATCAACGAATCTACCCACAGAAGTGCCTTTAACTACCTCAACTTCGTCATTGCAAACCAATGCCTTACTCACTCAGGCAAGCTTAGAGAGGCGACTGAATATAGAAGAAGAAGTTACATTCGTAAGGAAACTTTTTGGTTTGTTACGTTTACTTTAGGTTAGTTCCAGTGCCGGATTAAGTCAGAGCGAGGAAAATTATTACAAACACACTTTTCTTAATTTCACTGTAAAAGTAACCGCCAATACAACTGTTCTGACTCAATTTTACTTACCTACAACGCGAGTATATAAACACACGCCTTCTTGTTTTCGAGGATTAACAACAAAATATGGGGATGTTATGGTTTATGGCTTTTGAAAAAATTGTGGGGATTTTTCCAATCACCTAATATATCTTTTGTGATGACGACGAATAATCGGAATCAATAACTTTGCAAACGAAATAGAAAAAATGCGCTTTCCAAATTACACAACACTACTAATCTGTGACTAAACACTTAAAAATATGAGTTGGGGCAGAGCGTGGCTTATTTTATTTGACTGAAAAAATAATTTGTTGGTCAGGACATAGCGAGGCTCCCAATTGCGCGGGACGCTCAAAAGCGCGGAACCCTAAAACGCGCGGGGCCCGTAGCATTTGCTACGTGACTAATCCGGTACTGGTTAGCTCAAACATTTCGCAACGGGTGTGTTAATACACACCGGTAACGGTTGTAAATTCTTATGAATAATGGAAGTTTTTGAAGAATGGAAGTTTTTACTCTTCACCTGGCATTGATTTCGGTTATTCTTTTAATATAATTTATAGTTATGGTTGAATGATTTTTCGTTTTACTATATACTAATTCTGAGTGTACTTTCTATATGTAACATAATTTGTTTGTGTGTAATAATATGTCACATAATTTGCATTCCTTGGTGATTTCCTACTTTATCATATAAAAAGTTTATTAGTTCTTTAAAATTTCAGTTGGGGTCTCAAAAAGCAATTGCATATATGCAACCAGAACACTCACATGAAGATCTTGACGACCTCCCTGATGATTTCTACGAACTAACTATTGAGGAAGTCAGAAAACTATATCATGATTTACAAAAAAATCGTTTGGAATTAGAAAACACGCCTCTTATTACAACTTCGAAAAAAGAGGAAATTCAGAAACAGGTATGTAGGTGCTGTATAATATTTTTTCTATTTTATTTGGCATTAAAAGAATCTATTCACTCGATTGCACTAAACTTTGTATATTAAGGGCCCATCGAAATAAAGTAAGAGTTCGTATCTTTATAAATGTTAAATCGTTTTACGACAGATTCGCCAGGGTATACCTACACACATAATGTCCTTATAATTATTTAAATGTTTTTTTAACCAGCATAGAAATATTTTTTTTATTTATTCACAGACATCACAACAGAGACTCGAAAGCTATAAAAATGTAGTTGTAAGAATTCAATTCCCGGATCGAATCATACTACAGGGGGTGTTTATGCCTACAGATAAAATACAAAATGTTATTGAATTTATAAAAACACATCTTCAAACTCCTGAAAGACAGTTTCATATTTGTAAGTAATTTATCTGCTTATGTATCTTGCTGTTAGTTAATTTTCTTTCGTTTTCCATTCGAAAATATTTTAAGGTTGAAATTCATCAGTGCATAGGCACGTACAGTCATTTCTAATCAATATAGTGCACATGCAATTCTGACAATTAAAGAACTTACGAATTAAATTTATAATAACCCTTAATTCATTTAACATATGGTGTAGAATAAAATGCGTTAGGTGTCTGTCACATTAACATTCGGAATCAGTTGCGTGGATATTGGTGAATCGCCCGGCTGACATTTACCACGCTTCGGAATGTTGTTTGCTACGCAGGTACACCAGTGAGCTTCAACAGTTTTAGCTTACTACAATCGAGAAATATTTTATTAACTCTTAGTTCCTTAAAATTCATGGTTATAATATTCTAATTAAGATAGTAAAGACCATGGGTATATGACGTTGCCAATTCTGTTGCATAAACTTGACTAAATTTTGTTTTCATCCTGACAAACTAGTTTTACATCCCACAATAAAGAGTCCAAGCATTTTTAATAAATAAAATTCTATTTTGATGTAATATTTTTGCAGTTACAACACCTTTAAAAGAAACTCTAGATCCGAATATGACTCTCATTGAAGCTAAATTTGTGCCTTGTGTACTTATGCATTTTAAGTGGACTGATGAACAGGGAGAAGACACTTATTTGAAAGCAGAGATATATACAAAGAAAACTTCAAGTGACGCTGCAGGAATTCTTGCGTCTAAATACAGGTAACTTTTATGGACATGTTAACATAGAAAGGTATTTACATGTACTCACTTAAAACGTTTATCGTTGCAATAGTTGAGGTAATTACCCGTTAATGTAGTCTTAATATAAGAACATAATAACGGTAACCTCTCCCATTTCCCCCTATGGTTCCTAGTCTAACAAGCTAAATCTTTTAATTAAATAACAACTAGTAAATAGCAAAATAATAAAATTTTAAGTTACTTTAATCCAAAATTTTATAATTTCATAGAACAAAAAAAAAAATACTAAAGATACATAATTTAAAATATACAGTTGACTGTATATACAGGTCACTACAAAGGCCTCTTTAATAGTTTATAAGACAATTTGTAGATAGAAGAGTTCTAAATTGATTGCATAAAGAGTAGCAGTACTATGTAGCATTTTTTTTAATTGTTGAGGTTTTTTTTATGATAAAACTTATTCATTTACTACTTGTTCGAGTTAACATGCCACCTGGCTCTGAACTTTTTGCTTCCCCGCGACTTTCAGTAATTTTTTAAACATGTACTTTTTTAAGTTCGAAAACTTTTTGCACTTTGTACTTTGCGCAAACGCCTTCTATCCAGAAGCCTTATCTTTCATCCACTCGTTTAAAATCTCCATGTCGTCTATGATTTGAATTATACACGAATTCTCTAAATAGTTTTTCTGCATTTTTAATTGTTATTCGCGGTACTGCCAACATGATGCGAAATGTTAAATTTTAACTCGCAGAAAAAATTTAAACCGATAAATTGTCGCAATAAAAACTGTTTCGTATTTAGATGGAAATTACATTTTAGCCTTATATAAAGAAAAACAGTTGTTTCTAGTAATCTCCTGAGCTTTATGTATCTTGTACATCTATTGGCAAATACATCAAACGTAATAAAATATGGCCCATTTTAAGTATGTATTTAAAAAAGTTTTGATATAGAAATCTACTTTTTCACTCGCTCCGTCGTCATTCGTTTACTGCATGGTAGCGGCGAGTGGTTGTTGTAGTAATTAAAAATATCACCAGTCCTTCTTTCTAGAGCCCCTGGTAATGGCGAAAATAAAAATCTTCTAATTGAAAATTCTTGAACAAACTCCATGCTATAGCACACATTCTCCTTTGGCATTTTGTAGTAAAATGATAAACTTATGTGTGTAGATTCTAAATACAATTTTGATTTGTTGTCAGGGCGCCCAACAGAAGAAAACTAGAGGATGCAGCTGGTTCAACCAAAACTAATCAAACTCCGAGTTCATCAAAAAGTAGTAAAATGCCAAAGTGGTTCAAAACATAAAAAAGCAATCATTAATGACAAATTATGTTTTATTTCTCCAAAATACTTTTACAGCTTTAAAAAGAAAGGTATTTCAATGGTCCATCGTTTGAGCTTATTTTTTGGTGCGTAAACTGTAAGGCCGGTCGCACCTTCGATGAGTTTTCGTTCGTTACAACCGCTGGAATAGTGGATAAGCATGTGTATTAGTGACATTTATATCAAAACTCTTTCAAAATGCTTCCGTCAGGGACTCGCAAGAACCTTTTAGAAGTTGAAATCGACCGGATTTATCAAGTCAGTTGTTTAGAAACAAGAAAGTTAACTTATTATGAGTAATCCGCTGAATTTTTACTTTTTTTTTAAGTAAGAGAAAGTGATAGATATAGTAGTTCATTAAAGTTAATCAGCAATATGATTGATACTGATATAGTAATGGGTTTAATTTTATGATATTTCAACCACTTTGAGAATCCCTGGATTTTCTAGAAATCGACATGAAAGAAAACTTGAAAATTTTCGATTACACAATGTCTTGGTTGATTAGACTTAGGACATCGACGCATATATAAAGTAATAGGCTAGTTGACACCTTTTATTTTATAGATAAATAGTCCATTAATATCTGAGAAATAATGTAAAAGTAACAACATGTCTGAGATTAATAATTTCGGAGATACGGTGCTATGTTTGTTGAACTGCTGCTAGTCGGCCATAAACGCTCATTTCTGACCCGTGGAACTCCAAAGTGGTTCACCTAGGTGTTCCTCGGTTAACTCAGTGTACCCCTGGTTCACCTAGGTGTTCTACTATTCAAAATAATGTACCCGTAGTTCACCTACCTAATAAAATACAAGTCGTCCTAAATAATTCAAATGTTAAAATTGATAAAATCAAAGCTTTTCAGGGCATAACAAGAAAAAATCTGTTTTGGTAATGTAACAATTTGATAAGAGAAATAAAATAGACTTTACTCCAGAGGTGAATATTCTACTTTTAATTAATAGATATTATATCAAATGATTGGTTCGCATTAAAAATTAAAAAATCGCCTAATTGACTACGTAGCTTTTCTAATGCACTCTATAGTGATTGCCTTATTAACTGATTTTTAGTATACGAATACCACTGTATAATAATAGAGGTAAGTAAGGACAATGATTTGACACTACAATGGATAAAAGATAATAGCGGATCCAGAGGTAATGATGCGGCTGACTGGCCAGAAGGGGCTCGGGGCACCGTAATCTACGGACCGGAACCGTTAGTATATATTCCATATAGTTTACTGAGAGGTTGGATACGGGAACGTTACCAACGCAAACATGACGAAGAATGGTCTAGACTCACCGACTACGGAAAAGCCAGGGAAGCAATCTCTAAGGTAGACCCGAGACTATCAGTAAAATTATGCAAACTAACCAGATGCATAAAAATATTTTTTTGTTGTGTGTAGACTTCTGAGTAAATCCACATATAAAAAGACCGATAACCCAATAATGGAGGAATTTATTTACATCGTGTAATAGTCACCTTAGAGAAATATGCAAATTTTTGATAGTAAAAAAAAATACAACGTTATGAAATAGTTATAGATACAAACGATATATTATTTCTAGTAACGAGTGATTATCTTATTTCTAGAATAAAAATAATGAGCGTAATTGGGTTTTAAATGTATATAAAGTATATCTTTGCCAACATTTTCAAAAACATAATCAAAACATACGTAAAATATCAAAAGATTGCAGTTAGTGTTCAACGCTTTCATTTGACATTACCCAATAGCTTTCAAAGGTATTTGCAGAGATGTGACTTATCTTAGATACAAGTATTTGAAATACAGATACAAGATACAAAATACGTATTTTCATCTTGTATCTAAAATACTTTTTTTAGGAAGTATTTTGTATCTTGTATTTAAATACTTTTGTTTAGTATCTTAGTAGCTTTTAAATACTTTTTCTGATAAAATACTTTATAAAAATTTCTTACATTTTATAAATATCACAAAACATTCTTTGCCTAAAACATACATATTTACAAAAAGAAAGTGTTCAATTATCAACGCAATGAATATTTAGTTAAAAATAACTCGAATCCAAACATTGTTTGATGTCATTTAAAAAGTAAATGCGTAGAACTGAACGTACGCTTATACCGGTGTAATACACCCTCCCTAGTAAAAATTGATAGATGGCGCATAGGGCTTGAAATCGAATAACCAGTTACAAGCAATAAAAAATCTTGATTTATGTAAAAACCCGGTTATATGCTATAAATAAAACTCAGTATATCAATTAAACTCATTATTAAATTTTATAATTTTTTTGCACATAATACTTTTTCCACTAACAACAACATTCAAAAAGTTTATTTTTAAAGAAATTTCACTGTGAAATGCGATACATGGCAAATGCTTGAAATTATATCCCGTGAGCAAAGCAATATTGCCTTTATTGACTCAACAGTTAATCTTTTTCTATCTTTTGACCACTGCATATTCATGAGCGAAAAAAAAAATCAATATTCGCATTATGAGGTATAATACAAAAAAATACTGACAAATCTTCAGTAGTTCGGAAACGAGTGCTGTCATTGCATATATTGAAAGTAATTACCCACTGCTTTTCAACTAATCGTCATAAAAATAAATTTGTTAATTGAAAAAATTCTTCAAATAATTTCTTTGACATCGTCAATTAATACTCCTTTATTTTTCAAAAATACAACACAATCTGTGATGTAATCGTATGGTAGATTTTGCTTTAAGAAGTAACCATTTAATTCAAGGGATCTTTATTGAGAAACAACAACAAAATGGGCGGAGTCCTGTCTTAATATTAGGTCTTTACCTATGTAATTGCCGTTCTACTGTACTAGCCATTTAAAATCAAACTATTTTTTTTGGCTGATAATTCTAATATCAAATTATTTTTTCTTAAATCGTCATTTGTTCAATAGTAAGTGTTTTGTTTTCAATGAATTTGAATATTTTTCGTCGTCATGGATAAGTTAAAAATTCGAGTAATTATGGAGTATATGTGCCATCGTGGCAGCAAAGCGGCACGCAACATTACAACGTTTGCAGAGCGAACACTACAAACGAACGCACCACCCGTTATTGGTTTGCCCGTTATTGGTTTACGAAAAGGTTGCTGTTTGGTGGTCTAACGCGGATGTATTTCATCACAGCTTCTTAACAAACAGGACGAGTATTACTGCAGATTTAGTGTGTGTATTGTGAAGAACTGAACACAATGACGGAGAAGCTGGCACAACTCCAACCAGGTTTTGTCAATCGTTCGGTTCCACTGCTCCTGCACGACCACGTACGACCTCATACTACACAATTGGCGGTACCCAAGCTACAAGAGCTGGTGTTTGAAGTTCTCCGTCATCCGCCGTACTTAAAAGACCATACAGACTTCTTATTCTTCCAGAATTTGGATAACGTCTTAGCGGGAAAAAATAAATTCCCGTGAGGCAGTACAAAATGCCTTTGAAGTATTTGTTGCCTCCCTACCAGCTGATTTCTTCAAGAAGGCATCATTAAACTACCAATGCGTTGGCAAAGATGTATTGATTGCATGGGTGATTACTTTGATTAATAGAAATAAGAAAATAAAGCTTCATTTATTTTATTAAAAACGGAAATATCATAGATAAAGACTTAATTAATACTTCAAATCCGGTTGAGACCGGATTTATCCGATCAGATGGTAACTAATGGCGCATTACCAACAGTACCAGCAATACCAACTCTACGTCTTTTTAGGTACATCTACGTATTATAAGCCTTTCCTACAAACCAACGTACTATAATCAACCATAGAAGCTAAGTATTTTCTACTAAAATTTTTCAAATTAGCTTAACACACTAAAGGGGCATAATTTTCGGTAATTCTGCAAAAAAAGTTAATATACGTTCCGTTACATACTATCGCACATTCACCTCGTCACAAGTCACGCCATTAATTTTAAAAACCAAGTACTGTATTTATTTTTACCCATTCTCTTCATCTCACTAGGAAAAAATGAATTTTCAGTTCTCCGTAATTTTACGTCGTACGTAAAACCAGCTTTTTAAATAAATAATAATTTTATAATTAAATTTAAATAATTATTGTTGTTGTTATATTTCAGCAATTTTTCATTCACCTTGCTATATTGAAAAAAAAAATATTAAAAAGGAACTAAAAAATTTAAAATAATTTAAACCTGATGTATTGAATATTTGCATTTTTATATGTTACATTGTGATTGCCAAACAAATAAAACGGAGGAAAAGTGGGTGAAATTTAGCTTGTAAGATTTGAGTACAAACACAGAAAACTAAATAAAAGCTTACAAAAATTGTTTCTAATGAAAAATGCTTAAAAAATCCACTTACCATCTGGTCTAAGATTTAGGTTTTTGTGGTCTTTAATAAACAAACTGAAATTCAAATCTTTTTTTAGAAAAGTATTTGTATTTATAAAAAGTATCTTTAAGATACCTATTTTGTATCTAGTATTTCAAATACTTTTCTCGAAAGTATTTTGTATCTGGTATCTGAAATACTTAATTTAAAAGTATTTTGTATCTTGTATTCCAGATACTTTGTACAGGGTATTTTGTACATCTCTGGGTATTTGTAACTATCAATTTGCTTAGACTGAACGTTATAGTTCATGTAACATCTTTTAAAAACATGTCACTATCGCAATTGCTTTGACTTTTTTTTTTTTTTTTTTTATGTATAGGAGGGCAAATGACTGCGCTCCACCTGATGGTAAGCGGAGGCGTAGTCCAAACGTGAGGACAGCTAGTGAAAACAGTACGTAGGTACTGCACTAGCCAACCTCATGTCATGTCAAATAGTTCTTCTTCTTCTTTTTTAATTAATGGCTTATTTGCGCATTTCGCACAATTCTGCCAATGTCAAGTAAATAAATTAATTTTTACATGTAAAATGAAAATGAAATTAATAAAAGATGGCGATGATGTAGCGTGAAGTTCGCGAATGTCTTTCAAATGACAAATTCAAGTGATTTGTGAAAGATATTTTTTTTAGACAATTAAGCCACTAGTCACATTCAGAAACTTGTGGATATGTGTTACAGAATTCAGAAACAACGACGGGAATTACCAATATATACTTTAATATTCACACTCGGACATGGAATAAATGTTACATGAATATTGTCTAGGGCGGAAATCGAACCACAACCTCCACAAAAGGTATTTGTAGAACCACTGCACTAACATGCCCTTCGAAACATGCCGTATATATAATATATCCTACTTACTTTAATTATGATATTTCCTTTACATTTTTTCTTATACATTGAACACCTCAACAATTGTGATCCATTTTTTTACCCGGTAATGTGTTTATCAGTCTATGTTAAAAAATACATGAAAAAAATAACTTAAATAAAAACCTAAAAGAAAGAAACAAGCCCAGTAGTTTAGAATTCTGTTAAGTAATAGTCAATAACTACACAATTGAAATAGTTTTATAACACTGATTGACAAAAATGACCTTAATGAAAGTTAAATTAATTTGAATGGGATATTTTGTATCTACAATTAGCCTGTTAATAATCTGCATTTTTAAAAAGTTTCAGTCACCCTCAGTTTTCTTGCAACTGCAATATACTATTTTTAAGTAAATAAGGTTGAAAATTGAATTTAATCAAGAAAAACAACTAACATTTGACTTTATTCAGGATTTTCGGGAATATTTAGCGTCAGGTACATCTCTTTTGAGTGTCCAACAATAATCAGCCAACATGTTCGGACTCCACTTGCCTTGGTACCGTTTTTCCATGTTGGATATATCCTGATGGAATCAAATGGAAGCCAAGAGTTCTGCCTGTCTTTTACTGAGACCCAAATCACGTACAAGGTCATTGAGATCGTTTTGATTTACAAAATGAGGTGCCGTATTTGAAGTGCTGGACTCAAAAGTCGGATCGGAATCGGAATTCTCAGATACATTTTCTTCATCAATCACGTCATCCGTGTTTACTGGAGGCTGAGGAATAGGCAGATCATCACTGTGTGGAATAGGTCTTTGAGCAGATTGTAAATTCGGATAGTTCACGGTGTGTCTAGATTTGTGATTAATATCTTTGATAGAAGTTTGGCAGAAATAACAATCTGATACATGGTCTTTCTGTTCAGACCATATCATTGGAACTGCAAACGGCATATGACGAGATCCTTTAGCCCATGATGTTAATACACTAACACATTGTGCACAACAAACACTAGGAGTCCAGGTTTTGTCCAAATTTCGCACGGGAAAGCCAAAATAATTAAAATAACAGTTTTTAACTAATGGTGTCAAATTACGACGTTGACTTTTAATAGTAAGTTGACCGCAAATGTAACAAAAGTTATCAGGATGGTTTACACACACTCTGGGCATTTTATTACGATGTACAGAAACGACAATCACAAAAAAAAAACCGTTTTAATTAAAAATGAAAATTTATCGGAGACATACGTCGGTAAGCAAAATTCGCCTAATCAATTTAGTTTATGTTTAACGAAAACTGAGGGTGATTGAACAAAACTAAGTATGAGGTTTATATGTGGGTAGGTAGTAGTGTTTAAAAAACCGACTCGATTTTGTTTAACAAAAATTCTGCTTACCAGTGTAATCGATACACACTTATAACAAATCATACATTCTATTGCAGAACAGAACGACTCACAGTTAGGCTCATTCAAATTTTACCAATCAAATCTTCCCAAGGAATCAACCAAGAGTACCTACAGAAAACCTGTACTTTTCGGTGGCTGTGGTGACATTATGTCAGTGAAACACACCGTCACATTATCTGTAGACCTCGCTGGAATGTGAAGTCCCGCCCCGTTCCCCTTCATCTCCCCGCGCTCCCCTCGCCGCGTCAGTGCCGTCAGCTCTTTCGTTGCCGATACATTGACATTTTCGCGCTATCACTTTTTATTTTTGAAGATTTTATTGTCACGTTTGGAGTTTTATTGTTATATTTGAATAATTGTTATTGTTACATTTATTGTTAAGTTTAGATTATTCAGTTATTGTTTTTTTGTTTTGAAGTTCACTTCTACTTCGAAAATGGGAAAGACTATTCACAGTGAAGCAAGGAATTTTATCCTGAAAGTGCTGAAATTTTTTGAATCAGAGCGCTTAGTGTAAGTTTTTTTGACGTTTACGTTCACTGTCGATCGTGAGCGCGTTAAGATTTTAGTATGGAATCCGGTACAGCGCCCCTACCGGTAACTATCAAGAAGTACAAATCTCCATACAAATTCGTAACGCGCTCACTAGTGAACGCGTTAGCGTAAAACTTACACTTACCACTCTGAAAAAGTTAATAAACAATACATTATACCTGTAGACCAAGTTGTAAAACGAACCTGTGCCGTGACTGGTATATCAAAAGCTACTTTGATGAAGATCAAACAGGAGACCAAAGAATTAAGTCATGCACCGCCGCCGCTGCCTGTTTCACCGAGTCCCAGTACGAGCAATACCCATGATCATGACGTTTTTCACAATAATCCAAGCACAGAAGTAAAATTGTCAACATCGGGTAAAAAGCGTAAGCAATACAAAAAAAAATTGAAATTGATGATTTTGACATTTGCGCTATAAGAAACATTGTTAGCAGTTTTTATACTGTAAGAAAAGAAGTCCCAACATTAAAGAAAATCCTGGCAGTCGCTAAAACGGATTTAAATTTTAAAGGTGAAAGAACTTACCTTAGAAACATTTTAGTAGATCACTTGGGATATAAATTCAAAAAATGTAAATATGCCCGTACGGTGCTAATACAAAAGCCTGATATTGCCGCGTGGAGGGCTCGCTACCTGCGCGGAATGAAAGAAAGTAGTGAACGAGGTGCACACAAAAAACCGGTTACCTATCTAGACGAAACATGGATTTATTCGCACTATACTGTCAATACATGTTGGCAAAACAGTACGGATAGCAGCGTCACAAAAAATTTTAACCCCGGCCAAAGATGGATTCTTGTGCATGCCGGCGGAGAAAACGGTTTCATTTAGGGGCAGAACTACTATATAAATGCAAACAAACAACTGGCAACTATCATCATGAGATGGATACAAATAATTTTCTAAAATGGCTTAATGAAAAGTTAATAACTAATTTACCACCGCATGGTATGGTCGTCATTTATAATGCGCCTTACCATTCAACGCAGTTAACAAAGGCGCCCACGAGCTCATCCCTTAAAGGTGAAATGCAAGATTGGTTGCGTAACCATAACATTCCGTTCGACGAAAAGATGACAAAGAAGGAACTGTACCCGATTATTTTAAGGACAAAGCCGCCAAAACAATATGTTGTCGATGAATTGATGAGAGAAAATGGTCAAGAAATAGTACTTCTGCCACCCTATCATTGTGATCTAAATTCGATTGAATATATATGGAATCTAATAAAACAAAGGGTGGCAGACAAAAATATTAATCAATCGGAAAAAGAAATTGAAAAGCTAACCAGAGATGCAATTAATTCCATTACATCTTCAGGCTGGAAAAAACAAGTAAATTACGTAGAACGTCTTCAACAGAAGTATTGGGAGGAAGACCATCTTGAAGAAGATAATTTACGTGAAATTATAATATCCCTAGGAGAAGAGAGTTCAGATAGTGAGATAAGCGATAGCGACAACTAAGATTCAATGACAGGCATTGAACCAATTATATATTCTGGCAATAAATTTTAAGTGCTTTTGTTAGCGTTGCCGCTTGATAATTGATTATCGGCTAGAAACTTGATTTTGTAATTTTTTGTATGCAGACCCCTTTGTTATTCCTCTTAATATGAACAATGTTAGAAACTATGAACTAATATTTCTATGCATACTTATCTATTAAACATTTTTGTAGTTTTTTACATACATACTCTATGAGAAAATACTTACTTTTTATTTTCATTTATTTTTTATTTTAAACACTAACATACTATCAGGCCACCAAAAAGTCAACCGGACTAATTAATCTAACTGAGCACAATTAGGTGTTGGATTACCCAAAAGGAAAGAGGGATTTAACCTAAGCTGTAACATAAAAATAAAACAACATTTTAAAAATTCCATAAAAAATATATTCATGACAATGTCTATTTAAAGTTTCGTAAACAAGCTATAATCCCGTCATATTTTTGGAGCTCCATACATTGAAAGTTATTTCCTTCATGAAAAGGGACTCTCGTTTTATACACTTACATGTGTAAAATAAACCAAAGTAATATATATGTATAGCAAATTCACTATATAAAAGTAACTTTGTGGCGAGTTGACACGTTTTCGATTATGAATTAGTTTTTTTTTTATATAGCAAGTTAACAAAATTTACTAACATTTTGTTATAAAAAAGTTATTACATATTTAAATATTCTAAAATATTTTAAATGAAATTGTTACATAATGCGCATTGATTTCGTCTTGACGCCCAGCCTTAAAATAGAGAACAAACTCGCGTGTGAGGGATTATACCCCCAAGACGTTTTATACAAAAACGCAGTCATAATTTCTACTGTTCCTATTTTATTTCCCAAATTCTTGATTTGATCACCACTGTTTCCTCTGCACCTTTATGCGCTCTCTGAAATACCTTACATTTTCACACCACCTACACTTACGCCCCTTCTCACAACTTTATATAAGATGGCAAAATACCTAACTTACACCTTGATGGTTTAAAAGCATCATGTGCCTTGTTATTTTCTGACTTAACTATTAATTCACTGTAATATCTACATTCACTATTTCTTGGTTCAGAGTTCTCACCTTCAGAGGTGTCTGCTTTTGTGGCATTAATTTTTATGTTCTTATTCATTGCTTTGGATTTACAAACACTGTTTGATTTCTTTTTTATCACATGAGATGACGAATTCAATGACCTGTTTACTGGTTTTTTCGTTTGTTTGTATGATTTCACAGTATGAAGATTAAAACACATATCGCCTCTCTCGCAATAGCCTTTCAAAAAGTCTTGGCATATTTTGGATTTTTCGTTTAATTTTACGTGCAAATAGGGACAATTATCTTTTGTGCATATGCCTTTTAAATAAAAATAACATGTTGGCATCTTTTTTGCAGAAATATCATGTGACAAAAGACAAGTCTCTTCCTGGCACATACCTTTTAAAAACTTTCTACATATAGATACATGTTTTTTATCATGTAAAAAGTCACAAGTACCATTAATACTTCTTAAACATTTGCCATATTTTTTATACAATGGACATGGAATGTTATTCTTTTTTAAACCTTTTATTACTTTTAATTTTGAATTCCTCCATTTTCTATCAATTGAAAATCTTTTATTTGATGATTTCGTTTCTATCACTTTCGTGGAGGTGCCAGGTTTACAGAATTTATATTTATTTCTATAAAACTTAGTTAATCGTAATTGTGTCGAATGAAGCGTATTTGTAAGATCTTGATTGGTAACTGTAGAATCCGTTTGTTTCGCATTTGATAAATTATAAACTGATTGAAGCGATTTCGTTTTATTTAAATACTTTGAAGCTTCTAAATTCTTCTTAAATTTTTTCATATCTACAGACTTGTACTTATTGATTTTTATAGTCGTCGCTGATTTAACTGCTTCTGCTAAAGGTGGTTGTCGCTTAACTGTGTCAGTATTTTGTCTGACTAAAGTGTATCTGGTTTTTGATACAAGTTGTTGCATTAGGACCTTATTAATTTGCGTATCGCTTGTAATAACTTGTGGCAAATTGTCCAAAGTTTTATTGGAGTAGAGTAAATCTACTTCATTTGACCTATTATTAGCCTTCAAAAAATTAGGATTGACGTATATTTTGCTCTGATGTGACAAAGTTTGCCTCGAGAAATTAGGATTAACGTGCATTATTAATTTACTGTGGGGCGTGGCTGTAGGTGGTGTAGCTGATGGACTTGGTGGAAACAATTTATTAAAATTTGGATTTATATAAACTTTATTGTTGTTCGCCATGTTTCTAATGTCTAAGTATACACAGAATTCACTATCGCAAATTACGTTATTTAGTAACAGTTACTAATTTAAAGAATATTGGTAATATTTATTACCAATTTTACAATTCAAAGTATCTACAAAAACCGGTTGCAACGAATTTACAACTTCCTCTCGTAATAAGACGTTAAATTTTTCTAAGTAACTAGTGAGTTCATTTTTTCTATCTCCAATGAACCACAATATACTTGCATGAAATGATGGATTCTGCAAAATAAAAAATAATAATAAAATAAATAAATTATTTGCGACTTTAAGTGACTTTAATAGATATTCTGAAACAATAGGGAATATGCGTCTTATTTAAAAAAAAGGTTAAATATATTTTATTACATTAGAATAAATCGTTATTGCTTTAGAATAAAGTCTATCTAAATATTTTTCAATATTAGTTCGTTATCGTCTTGAAAATAATTATTAAAAAGTGCGAAATATGCGAAATAAATGCCGTAACTTCAAAATATTTAAACGCCATGCTACTTCCCAAGTAGCACATAAATAATATATTAACTAAAATAAGTACAGACTTATGTCCTAAAGTCGTACTAACATTTTTAATCAGCAGTGGTCAAGTTTCAAATCTGTTTAAAGGCATTTATTTTATCTAATAATGCTTAATGTCATATTATGGTTAATAAAAAAAGTATACCAATGTCAAAACTCCTATTTAAGTATTGGGTAATATTAATATAAAGCTGTTATCGTATTTCGGTGATATGAAATCATTATATTATATAAGCATTAACATAATATTATTTAGTGCACTTAGTTGTATTTAGTCATTTTCTAGAAACAAAGGTTTTCTAATGGCCTATGGTTGTATCGATTTAATGCTTATCCTATATACACATTGAATAAAGAACAATTAAAAGTTTAGCACCGATTTGTTCTTATAGTATTCTTTAATCAAGCTCAAGCTCCTTTATCTTCTTAATCTATGCTTTTATCAAATATTAGGCTATATTTTGATCAAAATTAAGTTATTTTTAGAGATACAAGTAATAAATAGATCGTAATTATATTTTATGTGAAAATTAAAATGTTAAATTATTTTATGTCTTGTATTGTAATGGTGGCATTTTATACGCATCGCTGGCACCATGGACAAAAAACGTTGGGAAAAACAAAGAAAACAGGTGGATATAAAAGAAAACTGAAAAAAGAGTATTCTAATTTAATTGAAGCTTTAAAAATCAAAATAAAAATGAAATAATCGTTTGTTGATTATAAGCACTATAAGATACTTCTTAAATGTTAAAATACGGCTGTACCTAACATGGGAGTGTGTTATACGGTGAATTACGAGCTCTTAGTTTTGTGTCTTACCATAATACGATTAACAGCTCTACTACACTATATTTGAATACCTTTTTTTTATTTTTTTATCGTCGAGGAAATGCTTTTGGCACTATCCCTGGCAAGTAACAGGGGGTGTGTGGGACTCTCCTCCGTGAACCCACTCGGCAGGTGAGCTGCCCAGTGAGTTCCCGGAGGCCTACCCACTAAAACCCCTACGGTGTCTCATCTCCCAAGAGAGGGTCTCTTGGGAGATGAGACCCGGGAAGCCGTGACCGAGTCGCCAGGACACTCACCCTCATATTCGACCATTGGTCCCCTCGCGGTTTGAGAGGCTCGGGTACATCGAGAGCCTCTCCCAGACAGACATGCGAAACCGTGCAATGCAAAGGTGGCTGCCGACCACCTCCGCTGGTTCCGACATGGAAGAGGGATGCGTCAATACGCGATCCCTCTTTCATTCCTATCCACTGCAGAAACCTGCCTGGTCTTTGTTGCAGGTCTCTTCGCTCACTGCCACGGGATCCGTCCCCCACGGCACCGCCGTGTATATTTGAATACCTAATGCTTTAATTTTACGAGTCGCCATTTGCTTTCTTTTTTCCATTTCTTACAATAATATTTAAAGTCAACTGTGTCAGATGAAAAGGGGTTAATAATCATTTATTTTGTGCACAGATGCCTATAAAAGCAATTATGTTAAAACAATGCTAAAAGCCTAAAATTCAACAAGAAATTTAGCTACTAGGTTAAATTTTCTATTATTTTTATTATATTAAAGGGAGTTTGCGAAGGCGCGTGTATTTTACACCATAAACTTGTATATTTTACTCCACAAACTGATGTTTGCAGCTTATTTCACTCATAACGAGCTGTAATAATGTTAGTACACTCCTGTTCAATATTAAAAAATACTTAAAAGACCAGCCAACAGAACATGTCATGACACTTACACAAAACAATAACTTCAACCGATTATATATTTTTAAAATCTATATATACTTTTTTACAAAGGAAATAAAACAGTAAGAATTTTAATAACATTAAATTAACGCATTATAATTTGATTGCCGCATATCAATTGTAATATAGTCACAAAAAGTTCAATTAGCACCTTAGAATGCTTTTACCCGACTTTATTAATGCTATTATACAAAATTTGTAGTGCTATTGCACAGCTTTTATAAAGCTTAAAGTCGTACAAAGGGGGGGCCCAAATTTTATGTATAAGAGTCGTTTAAAAGAAATACGGTTGATATACGATTTTCTTATAATGCTTAACGCTTGGACTCGTGCTATTATAAGTTTGATATAATGGTGTTTTGTGCTACTTGAGTTGTCAGAGCGGATGTGACGAAAATGCACACGTAAAGGGATGTCGTTGTTACAAAAAGTTCACATCGATGCAATAACATCAATGTATTATGTCGCAACTGATTACAATTTAAATGATGTTATAGGCTTTTATTTTTATTTCACCAATTAAGTAAATATTTATATGATTTATTAAAAAAGTCTATTATACTTTAAAAATCGATTAGTTGTTAATCGCTTTAGGTAATTGAATAATAATCAATCACTCAAAACCTATATTGATTTAAAATGTCATATCTCTAGTCGTGTACTTTGACGTCACGACGAGCGCGCCAAAAATTCCGGTGTTTAAAATGCTCGTAACTATTACTTATTTTCATCAATTATTTATGTTACAAAATTTTAGTTTTTCGTTGCCGGGTATTTTTTTACAGTTATATATCAATGTAAATTATCATATAAAACCGTTTTCCAAAAATGTGCATATTCCCTATTCCAATAGACAAGAATCGTGTTTGGAACATACTAGACTTCTAAAAATAAATTATATGCTACAGTGCGGCTGCCTCGAGAATAAGTTTGTGACAGGAAGACTTAATTTCGACGACATAACTAGGGGCGTGAAATGTGTGTGAGTACTGATGATTGATTTTTATACTCTAAGATAACTTGGAACTGTTAAAGGTGTCCTAGAATCCGATGATCATGATAATAAAAAAAAAACAAGAAAAATCCTGATTTACATATGGCAATATAGATTATATACTGTTGACAGTTGTCAAGTCAACGTGTAAATTGGACGTAGTTAATCAAAAAGGATCCATCCCTTACAACAGTCACTTTTGAGATATAGACGATTGAAGTTTAAGCTGTATTTGCGTGTTGATGTAACATTTTTGTGTATTATATTTTTATCTAATGCCATAGAAAACCAATTACATTATCTTATTATAATGTCATTTTAAAAGAATTAACAATATTTATTAAAATATAAAGGATAAAGTATGTTTGGATCCTTTTTGATATGCTTAGGTTCGAAGAAAATTCACGATCCAAATGAAGAAATAATTGTATAATTAACTGTAACGCCAAAATTTAATCGTTAAAACTATTTATTAAAGGTTCTTTATATTTATTGTTTTAATTTTTTATGTCAAATGTATTCTCACTATCTAAAATTACCTTCCTAAACCTTTTAACAAAACTTATTCAAGCGTTTTTAAACTTTATTGTAATTTTTAACCGAGATTAGTGCCTTTAATTTGCTATTTTACTATATGGATCCAAGAAGATCGAGTCGTTTTTATGGAACTAAAATATGAACCTACCAAAGATGTGGGATGGTAACACAGAAATATATCTATTTAGAAGGAAAAATTGTATCAAAACGTACACGTAATAGTAATAGCTTTCCATTGTGGCTTTAATTTGAAATTCCAAATTTGCTGTACTTGTAAGACCATTGATGTATAATTCAAGGTCAATTTGTTGAAGGACAAATAATCTTTTTTCTGTCAAAAATGGAGAATAGTGTTGTACAATGCGATTTTTTTTCTCGATTAAAAAAATATTGATTTTGAAAGCTGAAGAAATGATAATTTATTTATATATATATATTAATTATACTGTTATTTTTTGTTTTAGTTTTCCGAATGATCCTCATATTAAAAATTAATGGATTGAAGCAACAGGACTCTCAGGCAAATGGTAGGTATACTTACTGGACATGGAAACTTTAACAAACACCTATATAACATGGGTCATTCTGATAGTCCCCTGTATAGGGCGTGCATGGAGACTAAGGAGACAAGCGCTCATGTGATACTGGAATACAGGAGCCTATCAAGACAAACGACTACATATCTAGGTAGCCCAAGGACACTAGTGAAGGCGTGCGGCAGAGTTCGAGATCTTACGGGCTTCCTGGAGAAGCTGGGGTGGCAGGACTATTGGACCCCACACAAAATTACTTAAAATAGGCACTGAGTGTCGAGTTGCGGAAAAGCCCGCCGTGAAACATAACATAACAGGACGTAAAAATGTGTAGCGTGTCGGGACGGGGTAGCGGTTACTACAAAGTGTTTGCCCTCAGAAAAATGCCGTTTTCTATTCTATCGCATAAAATCTTTTTTGCGCGAATTCACTAAATTACATTCGTGACATATACATAATATTTAAGCAAAATGTTACGTTGGTCTCCGTCGATCGATATCGTTTTTTTAATCGATAAGAATTGGTATGCCGTTTCAAATACAACATGTATTCGATGGAAGTGAAATTATATCTTCCGTCACTAAAATAAGATCGTGACGTCACGATACCTACACAAAATGTGGCACGCTCGTTCTCCATATAAATCGACGAACATTTTCCTTCTAACTATATTTATTTCTGTGGATGGTAACTGCCATTGAAAAAAAAATGTCACATATATTAAAAACAGCTCAGAGCTTTTTTCCTATCTGAAAGTATAGATCCTGATGGACATTTTGGTATACTTAACTCATTTTCTACCAATTTGTGGGTTGGATCCTTTTTGAGTAACTACGACAATTTTTTGAGAATATTTGTGAAACTATTAATTTATTTTGTGAATATGCTCAAAAAGCCATTAATATCTCTAGCAAGAAATATTACATATATAACAAAATTTGTGAAAAGAAGCTGAAAATCTCGTTTTTTTATTATTATTTTATAGTGTTTATGAATTGACCAGTAATAAGCAATGACGCGTCTTAATACTTAATTTTTTGAAAGAATTAATTCGTAACGTATTCGTTGGCGTGTCAATTACTACAATAAAATTATTTATTTTTAGGAATACAATATGAAGACATTCTTCTGCACCGGGTAAAAAAATAGGAACCGTGAAAAGAAATAAACTAAACAGATTTGATTTATATGGGCAAGCATAACAGTTGCAATATAAGCTTTACTTTATGTATTTCTTTATATTTTTTTTATGGGATAGGGGGCAGACGAACAGGAGGATCACCTGATGGTAAGTGATTACCGTCGCCCATGGACACCTGCAACACCAGAGGGGCTACGAGCGCGCTGCCGGCCTTTGAGGGACGAATATGCTCTACTCTTGTAAGTTGGTAGGTCGTATCGGTCCGGAAATACTGCTGGACTACAAACTGTTCCAGAGATTGACTGTGCGAGGCAGGAAACTTCTAGAAAAACGCACAGTTGAGGACGTCCAACCATCCAAATTATGGGCGTGGATTTCTTGTCGCGTGGAACGATGGCGGAAGGTAGCGGTAAGTATGAGTCCGAACAATCTTCGGACCTTTCCCCGTAATAGATGCGATAGAATATGCACAGTGAAGCAACATCTTTACGCAGGGCCAGTGGATCAAGCCGACTTGAAGTGTCCTGGCAATCGACGATTCGAGTCGCTCTCCGCTGAATGCGGTCTAGAGAGAGAAGCTGGTATTGGGGTGCCCCTGCCCAAACATGAGAACAGTATGGGGCCGAACTTGCGCCTTGTAAAGCTGCAGGCGATGTGCTTGAGTGAAATACTGCCTCGATCTTTTAAGCACACCAAGCTTCTAAGATGCTAATTAAGCCTTACCCTCTAAGTGACCAATAACTGGAACTCGCTCGATATGTCGACACCAAGAATCTCAATATTTTTGTGTCAAGTAAACTAGAAGATCGCCAGCAGAGCAACCACTACGAAATCCGTATTGTTGGTCACCAAGCAACTGGCGATCCTCTAGGTACCGAAGGAGCTAGAAGGAGAATAATAGACTCCATTATCTTTGAAATCAAAGGGATTATAGCGATCGGCCTGTAGTTGGACGGGTTCGAGGGGTAACCTTTTTTGGGATCGAATGCAGTAAAGCAGTCTTCCATGATGAAAAGGCGCGTTAAGACCGGTGCCAACTCTGGAGCGCACGTCCTTGGCACAATAGGGGGGATACCATCGGGCCCACTCGACTTAAGGATATCCAGGGAGAGTAGCGCTAGACGCACTGAGCTTTGGTGAAACTGGATATCAGGCATAGAGCTCTTGCTCCGTGGAATGGTGGGCGGTTTCAGCCCCCGGTCATCCAAACTTGAGTTGGATGCAAAAAAGTTATCCAGGAGATCGGCTTTCTCTTTTGCATCATAGGATAATGAAAAGTTAGCTTTGTGCAAGAGTGGAAATGAAGGCGTGCAGAAATTACCATAAATAGATTTGGCAAGAGACCAGCCCTGTGATTCTGTAAAAATCCAAACCCGAATTCGAATTCACTCAGGTGTCCGAATGGCAAGAGACCAGCCCTGTGATTCTGTAAAAATCCAAACCCGAATTCGAATTCACTCAGGTGTCCGAATTCACGTCATTAAGTGTAGAAATTCGTTTATATTTCTACAATCGAATCGAATCGTTTATATTTTGTTATAATCAAATCTGGGAAGCTTATCTGTGCATCAGAGTCAGGGTCACGTGAAGGTCCTCCTATACATCATAAATTATCGAAAAATAAGTTTCTTTGGAGTCGTGTTAGAATTTTGAAAATAGACGAAATTTCATTTTCATAGAAATAGAATAGGTCATCAGTTGTCATGTTAATTATGAAGAATAGTAAACATTTTGCTTACATATGTATATAAAATGCTGACTGACGCCCTAGAGAACATACTATATTGCCTAATGCATTATAATAACTTTTTAAAAGGTACATACATACCTACTTCGTGTGTCTACATATAAACATACCTCATAAAACAAAGGTAGCTTAAATTCTTTTAACACTAGGTCCACTTTCTGGCAAAGCTGCAATAAAGATTTCTTCGCGTAATAATCCACTTCAAGAGCAATAAATGTTCTTGTTTTGTTTTCGTTACAATAAATCTTCACAGAGGAAAATTCTAACTCAAATCTGCAACAAAGAATGGTACAATATTTTAAGCGGCTTGTAGTCGACGGACGTAACCACACCAACGGCAGAAAAACCTAAACGACCGACTGCGAATGTTTATTTTCCTTTCAAATACACTACGTACTTTGTTTTTGACCATCTTAATGGCCCCTACATTTGGATGATATGTGCACATGGACCTGATAATATCATCGTTCACACAAGGATTGTTACTAATGTAGGATTTTAGAAGTTATACTTAATCAGCGGATGCCAATGTCGATCAATGCCTAGGCATGCATTCAAATGTAATATGGTGCATAGTGAATCTTCGTTTGAGCAAACTAGATGCCCGAACGTACAATTTAAATGTAAAATGAGACTTGTTTCGATTACCATAAGGCGCAAAATACAATGTAACAGATCCGTCACGGTCACACAGCGGGGTTCAGTTCAAGCGCGTGGAAATTGGTTGATCGCTCGATGATGGCATGATTATGAATGGTCGACATTTGATGCGGCTTCTTAATTTAGCCTTCTACACAGGTAATCAATGAGTCACATGAATTGTATCTTACTGTTCTACAAAATTATTAGCAAATGTGGTCTACTGTTTTGAATAAAACATAAGTTATACTTAATAATTGATGTCCACAAGCAAATTACGATTAAAAACAATCAAATGAGTGACCAAGTGAGAGATGTTTAAAAGGATTTGAATGTCAGCCTTAAAAACCAGCATCAATTGTTGCTGATGTCCATAACGACCCTGCATGCTTACTCTTGAACGCAGTCCAAGTTGCTAATACTTTGGAACTTTGTCCTAATAACACCCGTGTGACGTCATTTGAAAACACAAAGTATAGATAGCACAAAATACAAGAGAAAAAATAATTATTGAAAATTTTATGAATAATCCCCAAGATATTGTTAAAACAATTTAATAACTTTTACTTTGTTAATTTCTTGCAAGGGTTTTCGAAAAAAGTCAATTTATAAATTAATAATATTGAGATATATGATAAACAACAAAAAAATGAAATAAACAACATTTAGTATGTAATACCGCAATAACAAAAAAAGGTGGATTTTTTAAGATATCGCCAAAAATAATTATGAACTGAGGGGGACATTAGATATATTTATTTTTAATTAAATCAGCTTTACTTGTTGTGCAAATCATAATAGCAGTTGCAATTTTAGTTAAGCAGAACAAGTAACAAGAAAACATTACAATAACAAAAAACAACCAAAAAGGGGGAGGATCTCAACACAACCCAACTCAAGTAGTGTGCTCGTCAAACAGTGTTTATTTGTTAACGGTACTGATGTATAAACATACTAGATATGACAACTGACTAAAAAAAAAGAAATTATATTTACCCGTCACTCAAATAATAGAAAAATATAAATAGGTATGTATTTTTTTACTTCAAATTAACAAGAAATAGTTTAGATAATAAGCGTTTAAGTTGAGAAGTGGGGGCTCAGTACGTCATAATTTTGTAGAAAATGTATCAAAGCGTGACGTAATGTGATATTTTAACTCAATGTATCTTTGTAATTTAATGATTGCGAAAATTTTATATTTAAAAAAAATCTAACTGACGGACAAACAAACAAAAAATAGTCGTCATTCCTATTACGTCATCAAAATGGCGGGCAGACGCATTAGCAATTTGCGGGGATTATACTCTTGATTTGGTTCACTAGCGCCAATTATCTCAATATCGCATGGTAATTGAATTAACTAAATGACATTAAGTACCTTTATTAAATTCAGAAAAATGCAGATTAAATAAAAACAACACATTAGGAAGAGGAGTGAGCAATAGGCGGCCTTATTGCTGAACAGCATTCTCTTCTAGGGAACCTATGGTGAAAGAAGTAAATAAGCTAAGATTTGATAAAAATTGAGATTGTTATGGATTGGATTGAAATTGATATTGCGTTCATGAGTAAGCCTCTGATCAATACCTCTACTTGAAAGAGGCCAAATTATCTCAAATGTGTAATTAAACAAACGAATAGGGCCTATTACCACCACTTTCTATTGCCAGACTGCAGCATTAGCATAAGTACTTAACAGATTTTTATAAACATCATTCACAGAGTAGGGAGCAAAGAGCAAAAATAGTAGTGTCCAACCGAAGCTTCGGCTTCGGCTTCGGCATCGGTCACCTTCGGCCAAAAAAACCATCTTCGGTTAGTTAATAGAAATGAAATAAATGATATATTTCAATAAATGAATGAATTAGGATAAGTTATGTATTTCTCATTAATATTTTGAGTTTTATTTTATAACTTAATATCTGTTCTAGTGTATGGTATTTTGATAAAATATATGTACTTTGAGATTAAGTTTATTATTTTAGTTTAGTAGTAATTACCTGATTACAATAGCTTTTTATTGTGTAATATCTAGTTACACTTAATTAATTCAATTAATTAACTGAAAGGCTTTCGGCGAATGTAGTCTGTTTCATCTTTCACGGATATTTACTACTTAAATAGTTAGGTACTTACGTACGCGATATCCTTCGTGTTGAGGGCTTTGGATGAGCTGATATTTAACATATTGTATTTGTATGTTATACTCTCATCATTATTTCATTTTTTATTGGATATAGTTTGTTAGGAAATTTTGATTAGGTTGTTAGGGTTCATTTCATAGCTCCAAATTATATAAAGACTATTATATATAAAGACTGTTTGAGATTTAATTTATTGTCGCATTGTCGTATCCACATTGTATATGTTGTGTTCGGCTTAGTTTGGAGCTTAATGAATGTAGTTGAAGAAACATTTATCTACAATTTTTTTTTTATTCAGGTACGTAATGGCATCTACGGGTCCTACATGGGAATACTTTTCAAAAAACAATGATATTGATAAAGCAACTTGTAAAATATGTAACAAGTCTTTGTCTCTTGGTAGTGCCTTACCGAAAAAACAAACTACAACTAATATTAAGAATCATTTGGCAAAACTTCATGAAAATGAATGGGCAGCTTATTGTAAGATAAATGAAGATCGCCAGAGCTTGATGAAAAAAAGTCGGAGTCTCATGACTCTTCGCTAAATAAAAAGAAAAGACTAAAACAATGTCAAACTACTTTACCAGAAATCATTGAAAAAAAAAGTAGCACCGCCGTGGCCTGATAATCATCCTATATCATTACGTATTGATAAAAGTATTATGGACTTCATAATCGTCGACATGCTGCCCACGGCCCGTCAACTCCGTACAATAAACCAATCGCGTAGGGGTCCAGTGATGTATGACATTTCCACACGCCCCTCACCCCTGTCAGTAGATGGAGACATGACACCTGACTCATAATCGTCGACATGCTGCCCTGTGATGCTGCCATACAACCTTGTTGAAGGAAAAGCATTTCATAGGCTCCATCTGAATGACCCTGACACTCCGTCCAGATATAGGAAAAAGTCTGAGAAATACTTTAGAACGTCTTTAATGCCGCTGACGTAAGAAAAAGTAAAAGATAAAGTCGTACTTCTCCTACAAAAAGCTGAATGGGTCAGTTTTACTACTGACATTTGGAGTAATCCAGCAAAGACTTGTTCTTTGTTAAGTTGCACAGCCCACTTCATTAATGGTCCAAAAAGAGAAAAAGTTATACTAGCAACTAGTGTCCTGGAAGAAGATCATACAGGCCAGTATATTTCAGCGAAACTTAACGAAATTATTGCTGAATTTAACAAAACAAGTCCACATGGTTGTCCGCGACAATGCTTACAATATGCAGACGGCTATGCGTTATGGTAACTTTCTGTCTATTGGATGCGTAGCTCATACGCTCCAGCTTGTTATTCATGATGTTATATTCAAAGACGCTGCTTCTATGAATATGATAAAGAAATGTCGCAGTCGTTGGTCATTTTAAAAGAAGCGAACAAGCTTCTCGATATTTAGAAAGGTTTCAAGAAACATGCGGCTTACCCAGACACGTTTTGATTCAAAATATCGAAACCCTGTGGAACAGCACTTATTTAATGTTAAAAAGACTCTTAGAACAAAAAACTGCAATCAACTTATATATGGGAGAACGCGGTGGAATAGAAGTCCCAACTGCCGAAGAATAGAAACAAATAAACTATTATATAGCAATACTTAAGTGCTTTTATCAAGCCACACTTGATATTTCGAGCGATTCATCTTTGATAATAACATTGATCGTCATGTTTTATTCAAGGATGAAGATCCTGAAAAAGTAATACTGCTGAAGATACAGTTACGTGATTCTATTCACAGGAGATTTTCTTACGTAAAAAATACTCCACATTTGATGATTGCCACTCTAATAGATCCCCGATTTAAATCGAAGTATTTGACCAATGATGGAACTGAAAATACAAAGACTGAAATATTATCATTTCTACGACAAACTAGGTCACGATCAGCAGCTATTATGGACGTAGATGTTGATGAACCTATCCCTTCTTGTTTAAATTCAGATCCAGCTACCGAAGGATTCGCATGATAATCTTGCATCATCTGTCACAATTACAAGTGAAAATGAGTTGGGTTTGGATCATCCTGGTCCCCCTTTTCAAGAGCATCTTACATGTTTTTTAAAAGAACCATTACTTCCGAGGAATGCTGACATTTATGAATATTGGTCTTCTAGTACTTATACTTATCTTCGGCCAATTGCAATTAAATACTTATCTGCTCCTCACAACAGTGTTCCTCGTGAGCAATTGTTCAGTGCTGCAGGACAAATATATGCAGACAGACGATCTCACTTGATTGGTGAAAATGTAGATAAATAATTATTTTTAGCATACAACATGAGGCTGTTTAACTTTGATTACTAATACATATTTTTAATTAATACATATCGTCAATGAACGAAGTATTTTGATGATTACTATGTGATTTTAATTGTATAAATTTTAATTATCAATCAATATAGCCTTAGTTAAAAAGTTCTTGAGAGAGAACGTTAAGTTCAAATATGCTTATTAAAATAGAATATTGTATTATTCTTATAACTTGTTGTTTGCAAAATAGTCATTACCTCATTAGTTTGATGATTAGTTCTATTGTTATTGTTACATTTTCTAATATTTTATAAACTGTGCATTTAATTGACCAACTTTTAATTATTTATTAAGAAGTTAGTGTTTGTTTATTTTATTTATTAGTCTAGTTTCGGTCTAGTCGAGTACAACAAAGACTGATTGATTGGTCTAATTGTAATTTATGAATTACTTAATAAACAAATGATTATTTTTAACAAATAAATCACAAAATCATGGACTTTTATTACCATCTCTAAATCAACTTCTATATCATTATTCTATTCTATGAGACAGTTAATATAAACCTTCAATATTGAAGTTTTTATTTTTGTTGTAGACAATATTGAACATAATTAATTAATGAGAATTTATAAACCTTCGGCTTAGGCTTCTGCTGAAGGTTGTGGCTATTGCCGATTAATCAGCTTCGGCTTCGGCTTCAGCAAAAAATAGACCTTCGGTCGGACACTAAAAATAGGGAGTTAATATTTTATGTTTTTTTATTTAGAAAGAGTGTAATTTTGTCAATAAGGAAGTATTGAAAAAAAAAGCACTAAAAAGAACCTCCACTAGATGGCGACTCCAGCAAAAGTAAATTTTTGCAGAAAACAAATGGACGAAAGATAGTCATTCCCATTCCTTTTAACTTACACATTAAAAAACTGGTATTTGCAAAGTTCGTAACTTAGATATCAATACAAATATGAAAAAGTACAAATAGAATATGAGTTGTTTATTGTTTTTTGAAAACTAATTTACTTTTATACATGAAAGAAAACCAGAAGGTTTGTCATGGAAAAATCAAGAAAGTACCATAGCAACATCTAGTTTGATTTCTTTTTTTTTTTAATACTTTCTCGTTAATCAAAATTACTGCATACTTTGATGTAAGAATGATGGTTCATGATCATTCATTTCCAACATGCATTTTTTCAAAAAAATGTTTATTTACTACATATGTTAATGTGCCATCTACACAGAACCTTGCGTAATATTGCCAGTTGCAAAATGCAAAATAGATGCCACCATAATAGAACTCTGCAAATGGTCCCTGTTGTATAATGCATAACAGATTTACCTTACTGCTTGATGAGATATAAAAAAAGCTCTCATACATACCCTTCAACGTCAGTGAAAACTTCCTGTAGTGATTTGCTAAATGGTTTGATTAAATGATATTGCAAAACCACAGTTTTAGATAAACTAATGTGAAAATCTTCTTGTCTATGGCAAAATTCTTTCAGATCTCTGTTTATTGTACACTCAATTTTATTAATAAATTTTTGGAGAATGTCTTCTTTAGGATCTGAAATAATTCAAATTAATATATTTTTTGTTTTGTAAAAGATTAATGTTGTATTAGTAACAAAAACAATAGCTATGTTTGAGAGCAATTGAAAGTATACAAGGTAACACTAAATCAATCTTGATACTTGGAATATATAAAAAAAAAAATATTTAAACCCTTAGGATATTTTTGAGTATTCCAAGGTATCAAATAAACTATAAGATATGATTAGGTCTTTTCTCACTTCTTTGATTATACCTTGCTCATTATTCTGACATACTTACATTTAATATAAACAAAGGATGCCCAATTTCCTCTAACATGAGGAAAAGATCTTATTCTACCATTGTGACTTTCGGGCTCATCCAAATAAAGTTCTGAGGTTACTACTGGAACATTACTTAAATTTGGCAAGTTAAGCTTGGTTCTGAAAAAAGACATTAAAAAGTTACCATTTTGTGCATACATCATAAAAATACTTATGAATTTTATGCCAAAAAAATGCTAAAATAATAAAAAATCTAGAAAAGTTTTGTGCAAGTACCAACTAGCCTAATATTTTACTGAAATCAAATTTGATCTATTAAGCAACATATTTTCTTGATCATAATAAACAACGTACAGCATGGCAAACTCGAGAATTGCTTTGTCTAGACTCTAGACCGAGTTTCAATTTCCTCTAGTTGAGAGCTTCGAATAAAGGTTGAGGCGTTCAATAATACATCCCTTTACAAGCTCCTATTACTTCAACGTCCAATTATGTAAGTAACAAAATTAGCATCTTTGTTATTAGTTAAGTCACAATTAATTTTTAACAATATACCACAATCCCAACTTACTTTTTAGGGACTGGTTTGCTATTTTCTTCACAATCACTTTCTTCCGTACTGGAACCGTACTCTTTGATAATAGATAACGAAGATTTACAGTTCTCTACAGACATAATACCTCATAATCACATAAAAACTAATTGACATTTCTCTGAATCCAGTACTTCAACTTTATCATTTCCATAGACATAAAAGAAGAGGACCGGCCATACTTACGAAAAAAGCGTATATGCCTAAACTTCAAATGGAAAAAAGGCGGGAAACGTTTGATTAAGCGGGCGCGTTTTTTGAACAAAAATTTTTATTTAATTGTTTATAAAGATCAGTGAAGTATAAGTATCTATATTTGTTTATTTTAGTGATTTATAGTGTGTATATATATTATTTGCTGCTTAATAGGTAAGTCTTGATAATTATTTAACTTTTAGAATGAACGAGCCTCCTGACCCGGGGGACATAGTTCCCCCGGCAGGACATTTTATTACAATATCTAACGAGTCAGGTATGGAGACCGACGCTTCTTCATCCGGACGCACTCGTAAGCGTAGTCGTGTCCATGTATGTAAACAATGTAACAAAAAAAGACGCAAAACGCGCGGTTCCGATGTTGTCAATGAAAATAGTTGCAATTGTTTTGAACCTTTGTCTCCACGAAAAGAAACACAATTACTTATTGAAAATAAATCTCAGGTACTATTTACTCCTACTGATTCCTCACAACCTACACCTGCACTTACGCCAGTAGGACGTATTCAATATAATGAAACTGATGCATCACCTTTTATAGTACACGTTCAAAAAATACAATCTGCCCCTAACACTAATACTACTCTTCATCCAATAACTTTTGGGAAGTTTCTAAAACGCCATTGTTTTAAAGATGTAATTAACGGAAGTGTCAAACAAATAGGCAGAAACAAAGTCTCTTTATCTTTCTCCAATTATTTATCTGCAAATACTTTTCTTACTAGCAAAAACTTAGAAAATCAGAACTTCAAAGCTTTTATCCCAACATTTAATGTTACTCGAATGGGCATTGTTCGTGGTGTGCCTGCTGAATGGTCTCCAGAGGAAGTCATAAGTAATATTTCTGTACCTGTTGGATGCGGTAAAATTATTAAAATTAGACGCATCAACTTTAAAGTGATTGAAAATGGTTCTCCTGTATGGAAACCCACACAGTCAATAGTCCTGACATTTGATGGGCAGGTATTACCAAAAAGAATTTTCATGTGTTATAACTCTTTATTAGTTGAACTTTACATATTCCCAACTATACAGTGTTACAATTGTTGCCGTTTTGGACACACAAAAAGTCAATGCAGATCAAAGCCACGTTGTTATAAGTGTGGAGAGTTCCATACTGCTGATACTTGTAATATTGATGAATGTGATGCTTGCTGCTGCCTTTGCTTAGGTACTCACTATGCTACCAATAAAACTTGCCCGGAATTTATTAGACAGAAAGAAATTAAAATATATATGGCTCAGAACTGTACATCATATGCAGAGGCATCAAAGGCAGTTCCAACCATCACAAAGCTTTATTCACACGTCGCATCTGTTAAGCCATCTACATCATCAGCACTAGCTAGCCACAACAAAGACTACTCAAGTAAGGTTCCCATATCAAAGTCATATAAAAAAACTATATTTTTAACACCAAATTCACCCAAAAAAGTGAGTAAAGGGTATGATATTGAATCACACAGAGATCTCACTAAAGATTATAATTTTCAGCCTGTAAACTCAGGCAACTGTTTAAATAATAATTTAAACCCAGATGAAAACACACCTTCAGACCAAGTACTACAAAGAGAACTCATTAAAATACTGTTAAACTTGCTTACAAAACTAAATTCTAATGAACCGTCCAACGCAGCTTTTATTAATACTCTATTACAAAAGAATAAAAATGGACCATCTAGCCAAGGTGATTCAATGGAATTGCCACAGTGTTAATAGTAACAAAAGTAATTTAATCTATCTTATAAATAAATTTGAACCAATCATTGTATGTTTATCTGAAACATGGCTGAAACCAAATCAATTATTTTCTATCAACAAATATAATATTGTACGCGAAGACAGATTAGACACAACCTTTAATCATGGTGGTGGAGTAGCTATCCTGATTAAAGACTCTGTTCCTTTTTCTTCTGTCCCATTGCCTTCACACAATAGGGATGAATTTTGTATAATAGCTGTGAGTGTAAATAATCCCATATCCCTCTATTAGAATATTACAAGAAATAAAAAGAATATTATTAGTATTGCCAAAACCATTTTTAGTTCTCGGTGACTTCAATAGTCATCATCGATCTTGGGGATGCTCAACAACAAATTATCTTGGTGATGAATTAATTGACATCAAAGATTCATTGAATATATGTGTCCTAAACACTGGTGCTATTACACGTCGTTCACTTCCTGATCAAGGTGATAGTGCTGTCGATTTGTCACTTAGCACACTTAACCTAGGACTATCTCTTTCTTGGAATACACTTCCATCCACCTTCGGTAGTGATCATTACCCGATCATAATAACAATTCCTCAAATTAGCAAACCAGTTTCTTCTAATAGAATATCGCATATAAAACATATGATTCCTGATAGGCAACACAAAATCTGGGAAAAGTACAAAACTTCAGTACACTCAAAACTATCTAGTTTGCCTGTACTTAACAATAATAATGTAACACAATGTGCTGAAGCTCTCGCGAATATTCTCATTGAGGCTGCTGATGACACTTTTCCAAAAAAAAAATCCATTAAATAAAATTATGCCTCCTCCATGGTGGGACTCTGAATGCACTGAAGCTGTAAAGAAGAGGAAACAGAATGAGAAAAATTATCGATCCGATATGTCAAGTAGCAATTACGATAAATTATTAAAAACGATTGCTGACGTAAAAAAATTGTTTAAAAAAAAGAAATTTGAGAGCTGGAGAAAATTTTGTACTTCAATATCTCCAAATACACACCCTTCTTTAGTATGGCGTAACATTAAACGTTTTAAGTCTGCCTCATATAAGCCCGCCACTTGTACCATATTACCAAACAGCTTAGGTAATGAATTTGTTGACAAACTAGCCCCACCATGGGTCTCAGAATACATTCACTTTCCACCTTGTAACTTTATACAAAATAGTTCTTCAGGTCTTAACTCCCCTTTCACAATTTTTGAATTGAAAGGAATACTTCAATCTACTAATGATTCTTCTCCTGGTTTCGATGGAATTACATATGCTTTTCTTTTAAATTGTAGTGAAGAAGTACTTATTTATTATTTGGAACTGATAAATTCATTATTAGTGACAGGAAACATACCTTCCTCATGGAAATGTCAAACAGTGCTACCATTCCATAAACCCAACAAAGATCCGTCAGAAGCGGCGTCTTACCGTCCAATAGCTTTGTCGTCTGTCCTTATAAAAATAGCTGAACACCTCGTAAAAAAGCGATTAGAATGGTTTTTGGAGTCTAATGGACTGTTAGCTAATTCTCAATATGGTTTCAGAAAAGGTCGAAGCACGCTCGATAATCTTTCTATATTTACTTCAGATATTCGTTTAGCATTTTCAAATAATCAATTTATTCTGGCTGCTTTCTTAGATATAAATGCGGCATACGATAACGTTCTTTTAAGTGTTCTGAAATATAAACTGGATGCTTTAAATGTTCCATTTTTATTTTCTAGATTTATATTGAATATTTTATCAAATCGATCTATTCAACTATTTTTATCAAATACTACTTTTACACGTATTCTCTCTAAAGGACTCCCCCAAGGATCAGTTATCAGTCCTTTACTTTATAATATATATACGTATGACTTAGCAAACTCGGTCTGTTTTGGCACTAATGTTAAAATTTTACAATACGCCGATGATCTTTTGATGTATACTGTTAACCCATCAACTGATGAAGCCGTTCTGGACATGAATAATTCTTTGCAATTTTTAAAAAATTGGCTGAGTAATAATGGATTAGACATTTCAGTTCCTAAAAGTACGGTAGTTCTCTTTACTCGAAAACGTATTCCACCGTCCATTCGGGTAACATATAATGATGCTACTCTTCCAGTCAAAGACAATGTTAGGTTTCTTGGTTTAATTTTAGATTCGAAACTGAGTGGGGTTCTTCATTGTGAATATGTAGTAGGAAAATGCGAACGCGCCCTTAATATGCTTAGGTGTCTTGGAGGCGTGTGGTGGGGTGGCCATCCATATTCATTAAAACTTATTTATAACGCTTTGATTAGGAGTATCTTAGATTATGCCACATTTTTATTACAACCAGCTAATACAAATGCTCTTCAGAAACTAGATAAAATTCAATTTAAGGCTCTTCGAATAATAACTGGTGCCATGAGGTCCAGTCCTACCAATGCACTTCAAGTCGAATGCTGTGATCCTCCGCTACATCTAAGACGTCAATATCTTAGTGATAGATTTTTTTTCCGTACCGTAAAATTTTGTTCCCATCCTCTTCTATTACAACTACAAGTTCTGTCTGAGAATGTAACAACATGCAGTTACTGGACCCATAAATCACTTCCTTGCCTAGTAGTCAGCTACAGGAAATATTTATCTCTTACATCTCCCACACACATGTCTAACTATTTACCATTATTTCATGTCCATTATGAATGTCTTAATTTTATTCCCATCATACATTTTAATTTGGTAAATAAAGAATACAATGCTCCTCTAAATTTAAAATGCGCCTTGGATTCGCAATTTAATGAATATCATTATGTCTTTTGTGATGCGTCTAAAGGTAAATTAACAGAATGTGCTGGTATTGGTATCTTTCATGCACAATTCAAAATTGTACAAAAAATTAAACTTCTTCCAGAATCGTCAGTATATACAGGAGAATGTTTTGGCCTTCTAAAATCTGTAGAGTATGTTCGAATTATGAAACTTAAAAACACTTTAATATTGTCTGATTCTAAAAGTGCCCTTCAGGCGTTAGAGAAATTTCCCTTCAAGATAAAACTACATTCACCAGTACTTTTTGCTACTCGAGAATTAATTTACGAATGTAAAACGAAAGGTTTTAATATAGAATTTGCATGGATTCCCAGCCATTCTGGGATCGATGGCA